GTCTCGAACAAGCCGCAGCACACATCCACGTTACGCATCGTTATCTCAACTCCCTCCTGCAATTACCACTCAATTATCATCCATCACTCCCACAATCAGATCACATGCATACCTTCGGTTGATAATACATAATAATCGGACGTCCAGGACATGTGATATCCACAATATTCGCTTCAATACCTTGCTCACTCGTGTCTTTAATCTGCACTTTTTCCAATTCCAAATTCACCAAAATATAATCCATATTCTAAAAATGTACTGATTAAAAGAATATTATTTTGCACCCTCTGAATAAACAACCGACTCAATCGCGACACTTCAATAAAAGACCTCTCTCAACACATCAGCTTGATCGAATCTACACCCCATATCCAACGCCCCACGACCGTGCAAAGCCAAATTCTCTTTAATCATTTGCACGAACGGCATCGTTCTCTTTGCCACTTTCTTCAGTGAAGCTTCGGCGAGAAGACGTTGCGATATCACTTTATTGTCGGGCAGTTCGTCATGACCATCGCTGTAGAGTTGATTCAATATGGTCAGCACTTCTCGCTGCCAGCTCGGATACTCTTTGGCCACGTAAATGATCGCTTCTGTTGGTGGCGCACTCACCACCGCTGGGTTACCCTTCTTTTTCGGATTGGTATGATTCTTAAGACGTGCTCGGAATTCCTGCAAACAATACACCGTGAAAAATTATTCCACCCAACTCTCTCATATCCCACTAAAATGGAAAATGCTTTCTATAAAATATTAAAAGTTGAGCATACCTTCATCGCATCCTCAATGAATTCGGCTTCTTTTGCGGTGATCGGGTTCGGCTCAGCTACCAAAGGCCACCTCTCGCAAACAATTAAATTCTTCTTGCCGAGAATCTGCCAGATCTGTTCACCTATATGTGGACATATTGGCGACAGAATAATCGCCTGAGTTTCGATCCATTTAAACACCAAATCCACGTGCATTCCCGTATCACCACCGCACAACTCACGGTACTTATCTCGATATGACTGAAATTTCATAACAATAATCAATTCATAAAATATTACTTAATCACAAATAACAATAATAATAATACTTCAAACACTAAAACTTATAAACTGGATGTACCAAAACGCTCACCTGATATTCAAAGAATCCCGTTTTGAGTGCCTCTTTAAAGAGAGTAGTTTCGTAATTAGTTGCGGTCAGTCGTATAGCCGTGTTCATCTGATTATCGAACACACGATCCGCGAACGAATGCGTCGCACCCGTTCTCAGTGCATTAGTGTCTCTGAGAACGACCATTTCTTTGATCCACTCCAGCAGATTGTACAGTCGTAATATACCCGCATCGGCCATTGCAAACACAAAATTTGCATCCTCTACGTAATCGCCAGCATCCTGAAGTTGTTTGATTACGAACTCAATTGAAAGATGCCCTACCTCAATAAGCAGACTAATAACACTCACCGCCAGTGATAAACGCATTCCATCGGCCGAGAATTGTGTCACACTATCACTCAACGTCAAGAAGTTACCCGTCTGTTTCGACATCTGCAAACCCAACCATCACCACTCAGAAATACTCAACTACACAAAACCACCACATAAATTCATTCTCAGAATTTCAATTCCCTCAACCACAAACCAATCACCTTTTCATTATTCAGCAGCAGATGACCATTCGCTCGAATACTCTTCGGCCACAACTCCGGATGATCTTTCCAAATGGTGACGTGGTTGAACAGAAAGTATGTCAGGTGATTCTGCACTAAATCTTTTCCAGATACACGCATATCCACTGGATACCTGAACGTTTCAATGGATCAACGATTCACGTAACAATAAATCAATCAGATCAGTGCACAACACTTACCAATACAAGAACTCTCGTCTCAATTTGCTCAACTTTTCTTCGGGAACAGGCATCGTTTTCGCATCGTACGCCACACCCAAATAGATGTAATCCCAACAAGCATCCACCATATTCTTCGCACTGCAAATACATTACATTAATCCTCTTCATTATCATAACGAATTTTTCTTTCGAACAAACGAATATAAAATCATTCAGGCCGATTCGATTGAAATCAGACCAATC